GATGGAGTGTGGCCGGGGTTACGGTCAGAGGCCGATTGGCCGGCTTGGCGAGAATTGGGCGATGGGGTAGCCGAATCGGAATCCGAGACAATCATGGCGGCGAGAGAAGGAACTGACCTGGACAGGAAGAAGAACGAGTCGGGTGAGCAGCGGAGTTGCAGACGAACGGTAGTGGAGAAGGCGAAAGGAAGAGATGGCGTCCAGCGGCGGTTTTTAACTGACAACAGGAAGGCGAATCGGCAGGCCATGATTACTTGTTTGTGGAGATCGTGCCCAAGTGTCGTGCGGATCCCAAGGAACGGCCCGGATCCCCGCTGGAGCGTCCACGTGGACTTTGCAAACTCCCCACTCCTCCGCTTGGCCCAGCTGAGGACTGAGGAGTTGGGGGGCTTATGATGGGCCGATATCCAGAGGACGGCCCAAATGAACCATTTAAACAGCTTCGGGTCAAGCACCTGTGAAATACTCAAGCTGGGCCGGCCCAAGGAGCTGGGCCTAGTTAACCTCAGGCCAAACACAGCTGGCAGAGTCAGTCCGGAGAAGGAGACGGAGCTGATTGGCCGTTACGGAGCCGGGAAAAGGGGATCGCGCCCTTGGCGGGATAGACTCCATCGGTTACGCTTCACCTTAATTGTTGAGAGCTCGTGTATAAATAGAAGGGACCTGAAAGGGGAGAACTCAAGCTAAATCAAGCTAGTAATACACATCAAATTCTCGAATTCTTGTTCTTAATTTTGTTCTTACGATCCGCTCTGTAAATCGGATCATTTGGTGAATTTATTGTCCATCAACTCCTATTTAAGAAAGTTTAAGTTTGAAGTTCTATTTTGAGGATATGATCCATGTTTACTCCTATTTATGAGGTTTTCTTATCACTATATTCTATTGCATTTTATTTTTTATTATTGAAAAATTATTTGAATTTAATAACATAAAAATGACCTGTCTATTATATAATAATATAATAGGATTAACGTAGTCCGGAGAATTAAGGAAGGGGAGTAATTATACTCCGGTAATTACTACTCCCTAATTGGCATCCAGATGCTGGCTCTGTATCCGGAGACCACACTTCCCGTTCTATCCAAAATCACTTTACTCTTGAAAAATGTGGCTGCATCTTCTCTTCCTCCTCCTCAACTCCGGCGCCTTGGCGGCTGAGATCGCCGATCTCCGCCGCGGATTTTACAAGCAGACCTGCCCGGAGGCGGAATCCGTGGTCAGGCTGGTGATGGAGAAGAGCATGAGAAGAGAAGCCAGAAGCATAGCATCCGTGATGCGCCTCCAGTTCCACGATTGCTTTGTTAACGTAAATAATTAATCCGCCATTGTCATATTATTTCGATCTCAAATCTCAAGTTAATCTCAGATTAGCTTCGATTTCTGTCACTTAATTAATAATGTCTGATTGCTAGCTCTGATCCATGATTTCTTTTTATTGAATGCGGATTATTAGGGATGTGACGGATCGGTACTGTTGGACGACACGGAGACTATGTTGGGGGAGAAGCTGTCTTTGTCGAACATAAATTCACTGAGGTCATATGAAGTTGTTGATGAAATTAAGGAAGAGCTGGAGAGGGCGTGTCCGGGAGTTGTTTCGTGCGCTGATATCTTAATCATGGCGGCCAGAGATGCTGTTGCTCTGGTAAGTCTACTCCACTTAATTCCTCTCTAATCCTTCTCAAATTAACTTATCATGCTTTTAGGCATTTTATTTTAAATCACACTTTTTATCCTTTTTAAGTAAAGAATTGGGCGATCCAAAACATTATTTTTATATTTGGCCAAATAGCTTTATGATATGTTTGGTAACATGAATTTGGATTTTAAATCTAGATTTAGCTCAAATTCCATGTTTGGAAAATTTAAAAATTTAGAATTTGGATTTGAGTCAAATTCTTCTCATTCATAACAAAGCTTAATTTAAAATCCATGTACCTCTCCTTGTCATTTGAAATTTAAAATTTCAAATTTTGGAATTGAAATGAAATGCGAGTTGCCAAATACTACCTTAGCGTCTTTGTAGTTTCGAAAATAAACATCAATACACTATATATTCAAAATGTTGCACGTGCATCACTTCAACTATTTTCCATTCATTTTCCCCGTGAAGGAGGCATTGATACCTAATTTTCAAACAATAGGGGCATTGGTACCAATATCCTATTTTCCCTTCATTTTTATTTTTCTAAAAATTGTTTTCTATAATGTTTTAAAAATTAAAATTGTTTGTGCTTTTCTCTTCTTTTTTTCATTTCTTTTTTCATTTATTTCTATTTTATTTTAAGATAGATGAAGTATATGATAATTTATTTTTATTTCATTCATTTTTTACTCCGTAATTTAAACATAAATAATTTAAATTTTTAAAAATATTTTAAAGAGCAAATAGAAAAATTAATGGAAAATAAGAAAATGGGCTCCAATGCCACTCTTTGTTTGAAAAGTGAATAGAAAATAGAGGCAGGAGGTCTCCGTATAGCATTTGAAACCATAACAATTTTAGAAATAAGTTCTAAAAACAGAAACTATATTAGTCTCTACTGGAGCAATTTTAACCTTTTTATTTATCGTGATATCACCCCGTATTCCTTACCTCCCGCAATAATGATCTCATTTCCTAAATAAAGGGAATTGATATTTGAGCTCCACTTTTTGATAGGGGCACTCCACCCTTGTAATATTTTACAAACATGGACAATTATGCCCTTTTATTTGGAGTGGTGTTTTTTGTTTCCATTCTACATTGCTATACTAGGTTGAGTAAAGAATTATTAATATGAAAAATACTAGTTCAACCAAGAGGGGCATAACTGTCTATTTTTGAAAAAAATTAAAAGGGTGGAGCGCCGGTAGTAAATGAAGGAGCATATATATAAACTTCCATTTAGAATTGCTAGTACAAAAAATGAATTAAAATTGGTGAATTCAATTCTATGAAATTGAATCCCATAGAATTTCAATTCCAATTAAATTCTAATTCCATTAATTTCGTATACCAAACGGACCTTGATTGAATTTGAAAGAGTTGGAAAAAACATCAATGAGTTGAACGCGTTGAGAAAAATTAAAAGATTTGAAAAAAATATTATATTTTTGAAATTTCATATTTTTATTAAAATAATTTATCCTTCATTTATTTTAATTTTTATCTCTTTTTAATTTTTTATGTCACTAATTTTTTTCTTATACTACTCCCCCGACCCATTTTTTCTTTTAGTTTTTTTATGTCACTAACTAATTTTCCAAAAATAGTACTTCCTTCGTCCCATTTTATATGGCAGGTGAAATTGTTATTTTTTATTCAATTTATAAAACAATTGAGTAAACTTAAATAATAATTGGGTAAAATAAAAAAATAAAATTAAATATTTAAAACTACATTAAATGTTTTACGAAACAAGTGATAACATGAGTATATTATTTTATTAAAGGATTAACAAAAATAGGTGAAGAAAGTGAGAAATAATTGACGATGTGAATAAAGGAAAAACTTGACCATCTCAAAATTTTGAGATGTCGTATATCTTAAATTTGGACTTACAGTATCATTTTATTTTATCATACATATTTACCAGTTATATAGTGATCATTTGAGACATTCATTTCTTATACACATTTTGAGTATACAAATCATAAAAGTAGTACATTTTAGAATATTAATTTAATTGGAAAAAAACTTTTTATTTAATCACTAAACAAGCAAAAAAACATATATCACGCTATATCGTTAGTTTAAGATAATCTTACTTAATAAAAATATATTGTATGTTACTCGATTTTATTTTTTATAATATGTAATTATATACGGAGAAGATTATTTTATTAAAAAGATAGACAAATTCATTTATAAATACTTTTAGAATATTGAGGAATGTAGTCATTGACTCAATCTAGTATAGCAATGTAGAATGGAAACCAAAAACACCACTCTACTTCGTACTCCAAATAAAAGGGCATAACTGTCCATGTTTGTAAATTATTTCAAGGGTGGATTGCCCCTATCAAAAAGTGGAGCTCAAATATCAATTCCCCTAAATAAATATCTCATTTTATTTTAATAAAAAGAATAGTATTTTCCTCCGTACCTAACCAAAAGACCCGATTTGACCTCACAAAAATTAAGACAATTTAAATTAATATTAACTTCTTAGTTTTGCCTAACACATGTGATGGACAATAAATCCACCAAATGATCCGATTTACAGAGCGGATCGTAAGAACGAAATTAAGAACAAGAATTCAAGAATTGGATGTGTATTACTAGCTTGATTTAGCTTGAGTTCTCCCCTTTCGGGTCCCTTCTATTTATACACGAGCTCTCAACAATTAAGGTGAAGCGTAACCGATGGAGTCTAGCCCGCCAAGGGCGCGATCCCCTTTTCCCGGCTCCGTAACGGCCAATCAGCTCCATCTCCTTCTCCGGACTGACTCTGCCAGCTGTGCTTGGCCTGAGGTTAACTAGGCCCAGCTCCTTGGGCCGGCCCAGCTTGAGTATTTCACAGGTGCTTGACCCAAAGCTGTTTAAATGGTTCATTTGGGCCGTCCACTGGATATCGGCCCATCATAAGCCCCCCAACTCCTCAGTCCTCAGCTGGGCCAAGCGGAGGAGTGGGGAGTTTGCAAAGTCCACGTGGACGCTCCAGCGGGGATCCAGGCCGTTCCTTGGGTTCCGCACGACACTTGGGCACGATCTCCACAAATAAGTAATCATGGCCTGCCGATTCGCCTTCCTGTTGTCAGTTAAAAACCGCCGCTGGACGCCATCTCTTCCTTTCGCCTTCTTCACTACCATTCGTCTGCAACTCCGCTGCTCACCCGACTCGTTCTTCATCATGTCCAGGTCAGTTCCTTCTCTCGCCGCCATGATTGTCTCGGATTCCGATTCGGCTACCCCATCGCCCAATTCTCGCCAAGCCGGCCAATCGACCTCTGACCGTAACCCCGGCCACACTCCATCACCCCGGCCGTCGTCGTCGGCCGTGCCTGGCCACAGACAGCGTCGATTGAGGAAGCAATACCCTTCCTCAACTCCGGTAGATGAGGGCTCAAGGGTTGAATTGGACGAAAACATCATGGCGCTGTGCCATTGTCAAATTACTGACCGGGGGTTCGCCGATGCCACTGACATGGTTGGACCCTCCATCGAGGTCATGAGACCTACCCGTACTCAAACTGCTTTAGACGCACCGTCGGGGTTCTTCACGGTCCACTCCACCCGTTGTTGATCGAATTTCTCAACGTGGTGGACCTTCTCCCGTGCCAACGGGTCCCCAACTCTCACCGGTACATCGCCGGTTACCTGGTCCGGTGCAAAGATATAGGGGTGAATCCGACCTTGGACCATTTCATATTCACCTTCAAACTGACCAAGGGCCATAAGGATTGGGCGTCCTATGCCAGTCTTTCCCAGAGGTCCAGCAAACTCTTTGCTAGTGATAAGAAGGGGTCAACCAAAGATTGGAAGCCTTTCTTTGTCTTCGTTTCGACGGGGCCCGAATCTCCTTTCACGGGTTCAGGGCGCCCTTCCTTCCGTCGCATCCCACGCCCCCCACCTGATGCCACCCTTTTGTCTATCACTCGCCAATTCTGCAATAAGGGAGTTATGAACATCAAAGAGGTGGTGACAGAGGAAACCCTTGCCGGGTTGGGGTTTGAGTTTGTTCAGGATGAGCTTCGCCACCAACCCGACCTACTGAGGGACATCCCCGGGGGGCATCAGCCTGACCAGCTGAAGGACATTCCTGAGGAAGGTCTTGATTGTGGTCCTTTTGGTAGGTGACCCTTTCTTTTGCCCAGATGTTTAGTTTATCTTTTCCCAAGGCTGACCATTTCCTTTGTTTCCAGTGGAATTACAAGATTCAGGAGAAGAGATGGACAGCGATCTCCTGCTCAGTCGCTTCACCGCAGGGAGGAAAAGGAAGAGAGAGACGA